AAGTTAATAAACTCACTGTAATCTTCTTCTTCAAGTAATATAAACCCTACGAAGCAAAAACCTTCATTACAGTGGACGTAGCACTGGTCTTTCGACTAGGGTGAACCATTTATATATTGTCTTTAATCTCAGACATTTTCTCTATTAGCTTAGAACATTCATACTACTCCTCCCCATCTTGTGAACCACTGATCTAGACTTGGACTGAGTATTTTCGAGCACCATCACTATTGATTAAATAGAATATGTTAGTGAAATTTGGATACAATAAGTAAGATGAATAATTATTAATTGAAAAAATAAAAAATCTTATTTAAAATTATCACTTTAGGCCCAAAATTGTCTCGAGTCGGTCCTGATTCACAACCCCATCTATTGCATTGCAACCCTATTAGTGAAAAAAAATACCCTATTTATATATCTATTCCATTATTGATTAAGTTCATCTGATCTTCACACACACTCCATCACTGATTAAGTCCACCGTTGTTACCACCATGAAAATCGTCACCCCACTACCGTCGCCATTGCCGCCAAGATAAGAATCAAAGAATAATACCAATTTGAAACTCACTAGTTTTTACTATTGATCAATAGTTTTGATTAAGAAAAACACATTGTATTAATCCAATTGAAGATCCATATTAAACTATTGAGTTAGTGGCTCTAATCTCCTATTGTTGTCATTTGGTTGAACACTTTATTTTTCTAATAGATCCACCTCAAACACAAATTTGAAAAATACAACACATTATCACACTCCTATGTAGTTTGGGTTAATTAGGATTGTGCAGGATGATTCTAGCACAATGAATAAAATGACAAATCTCTCCCCTGGTGAGCTCAGATTTGCCTGAGAAGTAGAGTGTTCCACAGCGAATGGCTACTGAAAAAACATAATCAGCGGTGATGGAACTCTCTACAAATGATCTACTCACGCGTTAGTTCTTGAACAGAATCCTGTCACTAAAAAAAAGAAGGGTACCGGAGTATTTTTCGGCTTGACCCTTCCGACAATCAAGTCAGTATTTGAGAGACGGTTCGAAACATTATCCTACTGCTTGAGTAAAAGGTTGCATACTTGAGACTTGAGTTTGAGAGTGTTATTTATACCTCCTAGAAGCTAATCATTGCGGACAACTAGGTCCCTTAGAGGGAGGACCCCTGATTGGTTCACAAGGAGGGCAATATATGATGCACAAGCCTCGAGCAGAGTGCCTTCATTTTTACGTGGTAGAAGCTTCTGCATTTAATTCTCGAATCCCCGAACATTTAATGCTCGTTTTTTTTGATTTTGTCGAGCAATAAATATATCACATCCTTCTGTAGGGTCATTTTATGCACCCTAGAGGAATTAAATTAAATCCTCGAACATTTAATGCACGAGCGGGGGCATTTTCGTTAATCACCCTCTAGGAGGTCAGGCCTTAAATAATTTGTACTCTGTACGCCCTTATCATTGGTTGCTGAACTTTCTCCCGTGCTATTCTAATTGCCTTGGAAAAGGGGATCGATGATTGATAGCGAACCACGCTTCCAAGTCACGATGCCCTGTTTTACCTCGATCATGGGTATGTTGGATCAGCTGACATTCGCCTTTTTCCTTATGAATCTGACCTCATCATTTGGCAGGGACTAACCGTCAAGACAATTGTTCACACCTCGCCGACGTGAATGGTTTGATGCTGAGGACACGTGTTAAGCAAAGGACGCTTCAGGGACATTCGTGCCGAGGACAAGTGTCATTCAAAGGACGCTCTGAGGGCATACACGCCAAGGGCACGTATCACACGGACACTCCATGGACATTCACGATGAGGACACATGTCACACAGAGGACGCTCCCCCCCCCCAGATTAGGGTGTCAAGGACACGTGTCACTCAAGAGATGCTCTGAGGGCGTACATGCCAAGGACACATATCGCTTTCTCATAAAACTATGGAAATGTCCCATCAAGGATCCTTTCTATTAATACATTACCTCACTTTGTGAAATTCATTGAAATACATCGGTGGCAAGCTAGTAGTGATTGTGGAGGTGGTGCAATGGTGGTGGTGAAGTAGTGGGACCTTATTGTTGGGGGGTGATGTTGGTTGTGGTATTGTGATTTGACAGTGATGTGTTTTGGTTACTTATTTACGGGTTAATGCGTGGCAACTTTGCTCATTAATGAAGTGGATATAAAATGGGGCGAATGTACATGAGATATGCTTGATCACTTAATTGGATAGACAAACAATGTCGTGGATTAATACATTAATTGGTGCAAATAGATGAGGTATACTTAGTAATTTATTGTTAAGAGATCAATTTCATCTTAATTTGTTTTCCCAAGAGGCATTAAGCTCTGTTGTAGCACTCAACTAATCTTTCAGAGTACATGCGAACCCACTTGTCCCAAGTATGCTAGGTAATTATTATAGGGATAAATTCATAGATTGATCTTAAATGAAAACTCGAACTCAGGATTATAAATTTTGTAGAATGGGCTTTCCCTTTGCTTCTTGTATTGCTATTGAGAAGGCACAAGGTTGACATCTAAAGTATAATGCCCAACTTTGATAATCAACTCCAGTGGAAAAGTGTCACTTGATCATTTTCATGTGCTTGAATTGTTGAAGGGAATATATTACTATCACTATGGTCACCATTTTAAGGATTTGAAGAGGTGGGATGGCTGAACAACTTCTGAAGTCATTCTTTGATGAGTATGCTATAGGGGATAGTGGGCACATTAACCATCTAAATATCCATATTAGGGATTGAAATCCCCTTCATTAAACTTCTTCTCAATTTCATTTAATGATAGATCATCCATAGCCTAGAAATAAGGGACCCGCTAATAAAGGGCGGGTTCCATGTGTATTAATAGTAGATGTTGAGTAAAAGCAAGCTCTGGTCGACCCAAACAGTAGGGGTTAACAATGACTATCTCAAATAAAGTTGTTTATTAAACTTTTAATAATGTTGCTTGCATTAACTCTTGGGTTAGAAAGAAATGAAATGTCTTAAGTCTCATAAGATCAAACATCTTCCAAGACATTTCATGCAAAAGAAATTGATCATGAATCTCGAATGAAAAATTGTTCATCAAAACTATGAACCAGGACTATATTTTAGTCACTTCCCAGCCCATAGGAATACATAACTCGGCCATTTAGGAAAGACCTCGAGGAGATGACTAATTATGCATAACCGGGTTTTCTTTGCAAGATTGAGGGCATCAATCAACTGTGAACAAACTTACGATTAGAGTTGGTTTACTGGTGTTTGGTGTCATCATCTTGCATTGTGAATCTATGCCAGTGATTATTCACAAGAAATTAGTATCAAGAAAATTTGTCAAGAGAACAAAGGTGTGATTTTGGAACTCTAACTTCCTTTACTGGTTTCTAATTCCCGAATAATATATTTGTTCCTCTAATACATATTGCACTTCTCAAAAAAAAAAAATGGGAAACTTCCCTTCCAAAAATAAAAAAGGATCCAGTGAAAGGCTTCCAAGAAATATTTTCAGAGGTATCAGCATGAACAATCTCATAAAACTGGAAAGAAGGATCAAAAGAAAGTATATAATAAAGAAAAACAGATAGAATTAAGAAAACACCACCTGGGCTAACACTTGTAAATGAAGTAAGTTGTGGATGCTACTCCAAACTAGCAATGAACTGTAAAGGGCTCACCTAAATGTCCTCAACATAGTATTTTAATAAGCTCCAGATTATACTAATTAAAAACAGAGAGATGGAGATGAAAATTCCATTTATAAAATTCATGAGAGTTACTTTTGAGACACATCGTGATTTTATTGAAGTAAACAGGCAAGTTTAATTAGGGTCATGTAAAGTTTTCTCTTTCGTTCTTTCAGTAAATGAGAGAAAAAAGGCAAGAAAACAAAGATATCTTTTTCTAGCTTAGGGTGCTTTAAATTGTTCATTAGTAATGCACTGAAAAGTAACATCAAGGTGAGAACAAAATGTCCACTTGGATAGATTGTTTTCATCACACAGGAAAGTTTCTCTTCGTTTAATACACATCTAAAAGAGCCAAATGCAATTCAAGTGAACTCCTATAAATAATGTTGATGAATAAAAAAGAACTATTCAACCTCAAAGGGCAGAGGTGTTGGGAATTTCTCAAAAAACCTAACCCCAACAAATCAAATTAAATGAGATCCATATGAAATATTACTCAAACAAACAGAAATTAAATTTACACGAAACAAAGGGTGAAATAAAATACAAGTATTTCCAACTATTTATATGCAATGATAACAATCACATAACTGAAGCCATTACAAGGGATTATAGAACAGAGATGCCATGTACTTGGAAAAATTAGAGCAAACTACCCTCTATTTTTTAGTCTTTGGTGACAAGTATGAGAACAATTAATTTCATGTAGATCCTACTTCAACTTGTTAGGTCTGAAATTGTTCACATTGTTGGAAGTTGGATTTATTGAATCTCCCAAACTTTCTCGGTCTTTTTATCAATGTTTTCAGAAAACATTCCGATAGAACTGGCATTCTTTGTCTATAATTTTAAGCAAATTGAACTGACCTCATAGTTCAACTTTTGAGTCGTATATTACGAAGGCACCAGTTGCAGGGGGCGATAGTTAATGTTTTTTTCCAGCTATTAGCCCTATTTTTTATCTATACATATGGTAACTCACTCATATCATTTTGAATGATCCAACATATAGATGTGTTCTAGATGCTTCAAAGAGGCTCATTACCAGAATTGTCAAAAATTGAGAACTAATTATACGTTAGCAAAGGAAACAAAAGATTTCTTGAAGCTTCTTAATCACAATCATTGAACACACAGTTCACTTTTGATAAAAAAAAAAAACACAGTTCACATATCAACTATTACAACAATGCAGCAGTGCAACAGGAGTCAGGAGGCATGCCATCTGAAATCTTCTGTAACATGACTATCGAATGGCAAGCTTACACTGGCAAATTTAAAAGCAGAAAGGTTTAAAACAAACCTTAGACATAAGAAAGCAGCAGTTTGAAGTAGATAATGATATACACTGAAAGGGAGCACACAGCAAACACATGCTGCCAGAAGAGGAGTGCTGATGCTTCGCTAACTGCATAACCTCTCAAGCTAGCAACTGCTCCCAACAATATGGCGCTTGGTGTTGTGTATTGCAACAAAAGCACGAACCGATACATTTGATCCCCATGGATCAAAAAGTTCAGTCTATCAGCCAAACAAACCACCCCTATTCCAATCAAAGGAAGTATCAGAAGTCTTGCAATGATGATGCCAATTGTAGTTCGAAGCCCTAGTCTAGATTCATTGGGACCCTCAGCAAGCATTCCTCCAAGAATTAGCATTACTGAAGGCACCATTGCTCCAGCCACAATGTCTAAACTATCGGTGATAAATGAAAGTGGTGCATCATCGCCATAAACAACCCTTTTGAGGAAAGGGACTATTCCAATAATGATGGCCAACAGGGTAGCAAATGTGGGAGGCTGAAGGATATGAAGGATAGGCGTTTTCTCAGCAACAATTCGTATCCTTCTAACCATCCTGGGCTCTGCCAAGCACCTAATAGATTTGGGACTCCTTGGACCTCCCTCTTCCAGTGAATCAGGGTCGGGTACAGAACTTTGTGAAATGCTAGAGACACTAGTAAAGACCCTTGCAATGATTGGCGTCTTGCAATGCTCAGTTTCTTTATCTTCCATTCCAGGCCATTCAGCTTCCACAAGAAGTGGCCTACTGAGATTGTCTACCAATAATTGTTCCTGAATCTCAAAACCTTCCTCCTCAACCACCTCGTAATACTCTAACGGGGGCTCCATCATGTGATAAACAAGGGTATAAACAAGAAGAACAGCAACCCATTGGGCAAAAGAAACATAAGCAATACCAGTCCTATGGCATTCTGGACCAAAAGGATTATCTGTGCTATGGCACACGGACCCAACAATAGCTAGGGGCAGACTGCCAGTGTTACTAAAGGCCGTCACAATTACAGTGAATCTGATGAATTCAGGAGGTGGTCGGCATATTATTGCGACCAAGAACCCCAACACACAACCAATAGCAGTACTGAGGATCACATTTACGGGTATGAACCACCAATCGATGAAATTTTGTAGAGTAATGGATTCACCGAGGTGAATGAAGATCGTACAAGGCAAGAAGAGGGCAAAAACAAGCTTGCTAAGAAGCTTAAAAGTGGCTCTCGGGACAATTTGGGTTTTGGGGTGGGCAAGAATCAGACCAATGACAGTGAGAGAGAGGAGTTTCAACAATGGTAGAACAGCACTTAGAAGAATTTCCTTTCCAGAATTCACACTTCCTACACTCATGGCAGAGAGGAATTCCATGATCAAATAGGAAACCACAAGATACTTGTAGGAATTTGACAAACCAATTCTAAGCCCAAGAAATTGAAATCTTAGTTCAAGCTTTACACTTTAGAACATGGGCTTTTACAGAAATTCCCATATTACAGAACTAAAGCAACAAAATTAAATTCGGAATACCTTAGTAGACATGCACCAGGGGAACTAATTCGATCCTAAAATGGAATAGTGTTAATCTTTCACCAAATCACTCTTAAAACATACGGCCTGGCCTGGTAATTGGTTTTCTTTGACGACAGATTAGTTAGACACACACGTAACAAACTTGTTGGAAACCAAGAAATACGCAGAACTAGAAACGAAAATCATTCAACAACCCAAAATTTACAAGCTACTACAACATTTTTTACAGGATTTATGCATATAATACACACAACATAGCAACATAACTGAAAGGAAACTTTCTTACCTAAATTTCTTAAATAAGAGGTAAATATAAGGATCCACGAGACAGAGAGAGACGATGGGAGATTCGCAGAGGATCACTGAGAGATGTTTTATTAAGTCAAAAATGGTTGATACTCAGATGAAAAAAATAAGGGTCCGTCTAAGGTACCCACAGTAACTTTTCGGTATGGTACCCAAAAAAACAAAATTTATTGTTGATGTACGATAAATAACTTTTAACCGTTCATCCCAAGTCTATCACATTTTTGTTTTTACCGCCTACCCAGTAAACCTTACAAATTTATAAATAAATAAAAAAATTCAGACGGAGAAGAAGATGGAGTTGCAGATCTTTTTTATCCTGGGAACCATTTAAGAGATTATAAAAATAATTATCATTTTTTAACTAAGATTGAGATTATAGTAAACTTATATGTAATAAAAAATAAATACACTTATAACACTTTTTAAAATAAAGCTAGAGGGGTAAGGTTTCAGGGTAATTGGGGTTTGATTAGTAAGAATATTATGAAAGGTTACCATTTTTTTTTATAAGATTATCACTTTTTTTTTGGCAAGATTATCATTTTTTTTTTACCATTTTTAGGAAAGATTACCACTTTCGAGGGTAAGATTATACTGTTGAGGTAAGATTATCACTTCTTTGATTAACATTACAATTTTTTTTTATTAAGATTACCATTTTTTTGATTAAGATTACACTATTAAGATAAGAGTATCACTTTTCTTATTAACATTATCATTTTTTTGGTTAACATTTCCATTTTTTTGTTAACATTACCTCTTTTTTGGTTAAAAATACCATTTTTTTCCGTTAACATTACCATTTTTTTTGTTATCATTTTCATTTATTAGGTTAACATTATCACTTTTTTGTTGTTAAGATTACATTTTTTTTGTTAACAGTACCACTTTTTTTTTGTTAACATTACAATTTTTCTTTTGTTAACATTATCATTTTTTTTGTTAACATTACAACTTTTTTGGTTAAGATTACTCTCTTGAGGTAAGAGTACTATTTTTTTTTTGTTAACATTACTATTTTTTAAGACAAGATTGTCACTATTTTTTTGTAAGATTACCATTTTTTAAGGAAGATTGTCACTTTTTAAGGGCAAAATTATCACTGTTGATGTAATAGTATCATTTTTTTTTTTGTTAATATTATCAGTTTTTAGGCAAAATTGTCACTATTTTTTTTTTAAGATTACCATTTTTTAGGGAAGATTATCACTTTTTAAGGGCAAAATTATCACTGTTGATGCAATAGTACCACTTTTTTAATCAACATTACCACTTTTTGAGGGCCGATCAAGTGTTGGTTACTGATCAAGAACACCAAATTAATCACAACCGATCAAGTGTTGGGTAATGATCAAGAGTAGCGATCATGTAAAGATCTAATGTGGATCGGTCATGATTGGTTGTAGCAATCAAGTTAGCGATCACGTAGGGATCTAATGTGGATCGGTCGTGGTTGGTTGTAGCAATCAAGTTTGCGATCATGTTCAAAATAAATTTCATTTATACCCCTAAATTATAACTCTTTTTCAATTTTTTTTCATATTTTTCATATTACACCCTCAACTATGTAATTAGTTTCATATTACCCCAAATGTTTTACCTAATTTAATTTAACACCAATAGGTATCGACTTGACACCCAAATATGATAACTTTGTTGTAATGTATTTAGTGGTGAAAAACTTTGTTGTATTTAATTTATCAAATTAACACCAATTTAATTTTTCATCCAATTTATATTTAATTTATCAAATTAACACCAAATTAATATTTAATTTATTAAATTAAGATTCACTTTCATCTGATAAACATTCAACTCATCAAACTAACATTCATATTCATCCAATTAAAACTCAATTTAACAAATTAATATCTGAAATAATCCAATAAATATTCAATTGATCAAACAAACACTAAAGTAACATGAAATTTCATCTAATTAATATTTAATCCATCAAATTAACAAAAAATTAACATTCAATTTCATTGATTAAAAATTCATTTTATTAAATTAATATTCAAATTCAACTAGTTACTTTAAATTAATCAAATTAATTTTTAATTTCATTCAATTAATACTCAATTCATTAAATTAACTTTCTAAATCAAACAATAGAGATTCAATTTATTAAATTAATACCAAAGTAACATAAAATTTCATGTCATTAATATTCAATTCATCAATTTAACACAAAATTGACATTCAATTTTCATCCAATTAACATTCAATTTTATCTAATAGACATTTAATTCATTAAATTAACATTCAAATTCAACTAGTAAACATTAAATTAATCACATTAATGTCAAATTAACATTCACTTCATCTAATTTATATTCAAATTTATCCAATCAACACTCATTTAATCAAATTAATGTCTAAATTTATTTAATAAATATTCAAATTATCAAATCCACACCAAAGCAATATGCAATTTCATCCAATTAAAATTTAATTTATGAAACTAACATTCAAGTAATCAAATTAATATTCAATTCATGAGATTAACACCAAATGAACATTCAATTTATCTAATTAACATTCAATTTTTTTAATAAACAATTAATTCATTAAATTAACAGTTAAATTCAACTAGTTATCAATAAATTAATAAAATAAACTTTTAATTTCATTGAATTAACATTTCAAATTAAACAATAAAGATTCAATTTATCAAATTAACACCAAAGTAACATACAATTTCATCTAATTAATATTCAATCCATCAATTTAACATCAAATTAACATTCAATTTTATCTAATAAACAATTAGTTCATTAAATCAACAAGCTAATTCAACAAGTTAACAATAAATTGCTCAAATTAATATTGAATTCATCTAATTTACATTAAAATTCATCGAATTAACACTAATTTAATCAAATTAACATCCAAAATTATTTTTAAAATATTTAATTTATCAAATCAACATCAAAGTAACATGTAATTTCATTCAATTAATATTTAATTTGTCAAATTAATATCAAATTAACATTTAATTCATCAAATTAACACAAAATTAACAATCAATTTCATCTAATTAATATTTAATTTTTACTAATAAACATTTAATTCATTAAATTAACATTCAAAAATGACTAGTTAACATTAAATTAATCAAACAAGCTTTTAAATTCATTCAATTAACACTAAATACATTCAGTTAACTTTCCAAATCAAACATACATGACTTAATTGACAACCTTAATGTGACAAAACATCCCATTTTTCTTAATGCTGAGATGATCAACCCAATTTGAAAATTAAACAAATTTGTAGACAACGTTCTTATCAGGCATCAAAAATTGACCTAATTGTGCAAAACAACAAGGGTTAATAGTACTTTGGATCCCTAAAGTATGTATTTTTTGTCAGTTTAATTCTCATTATATCAATTTTGACAATTTGGTCTCTAAAATATTCAATTCGTGTCACTTTGATCCCTAATCAGACAATCTGTTAAATTTTTTGACGGAAATAATCATGTGTCATTTTTTTGGATAATATTACCTACTCAACACGTGATCATTCTGTAAAAACTTAACGGTTCATCTATGTAAAGACCAAAATGACACGACTTGAATATTTTATCAAATTGTTAAAATTAATATAATGAGAATTAAATTGACAAAAAATATATACTTTTAGAGACCAAAAATACTATTAACCCAAACAAAAATAACCCAATTTTGAAAATATAAACTTGTTTAAATAGTATGTTGTGATACAAGTGTTTCATTTTTTTCAATTTTCATTTCTTTGTCATGTATTGTATGAAATAATAGAACAGCAGAGACTTTTACTTCGTTTTTTCTATCATTTAGATTATGTCATTTTTTGATTTCTAGGGGTCGGTTGTGGTGGTTTGATTGAAAGAGAATATGTTACTCACGAGTCCAATACAACGCAATTAACAAATGAATATGGTTAGTGTGAGAAAATCTTACACGATTAATTAAATGGATTAAATTAATTATAATTAGGATTAGAAATGCATTTAAAAAGTATGACACTCCCCGACTTAATTTACAACCTTAATGTGACAAAACATCCCATTTTTCTTATCTCTGTGAGCTTCGATTTTTAATACCCAGAGAGTGAAAAAAGATATAAAAAAGAAAAAAAAAAAAAAAAAAAAGGGAAGAACAATTCCATGCAACGCAAATATGGCCGGTTTTTGCTCCTTTACATGCCTTCACGTAAAGGTGCAAGGTGGTGTAGGATATGAACTTTCCTCCGAGTCTTCAATCAATACTATGATAACATTTAATGCCCGGATTTCACTCATTTGCCTCTTGAGCAAACGATACTTTTTGTGCAAGGTGGTGTAGATGACAACTTTCCTCCGATGCTAATTTTTTTTTCCATCCGCAAAGTGCCGAAGCAAACTTTTTGCATTGCCCTTTTTTACCACACCGACACAAATACTTTTTTGATGATGCACAAAAGTGGATTATGCACAATCAATAGTCGAGTGTGTGATATAATATAATTAATGGACAATTAATTGAACAATCAATGACAAAAAGATAAATATTGAGTCAACATGCAGATATATAGTAGTTCGGTTAAGACGACCTACTTTACTTCAAAAAACTGCAACGGTGGCCGAAAAACTTTTATTAATAAAGTGAGAGAGAACAAACGTTAGCTTCGGGAGAGGCGTGGTAGCTACGAGAGTAGTAGCTATGGGTGTGTAGAGAGATATAAAGAGATGTAAAGAGGTGTCCTCTCATAGAGAGAGTTTATTATTTATATGTACAGATTCTTAGTTGAGGTGAGGTAGTAACGTGAGGGTTAAGACACTAGTTTCTCGAAGAAGATAACTACAAAAAGTAAGTACAATTAAAGGTAATCTTGATCTTTAAGAGTGGGTATCTCGATGATTACTCCTCACGTGTTTTAATCATCTTGAACTCTTTGGACCTTGGGTTGGGTCGAATTGGACTTGACCTGCCTGAAAGCTGTTTTGGGCTTGCTTAATTTATTGGGTCTGACCCGATTTGATCTGGGCTCATCACTTTATGCATTGCTTTCTATGTTGACAAGTAACCGACGGAAAAGTGTATTTCGGAGTAATGATACATGAACTTAAAAATTAGATTTAAAAATTAAATTTGATAATCTCAATCAATGAATAGGTAGTGAGTCCCAATAAATACTAAGACCCACAGTAAAATTAATGGTTGAGATTATCAAATCAATTTTTAAAATACATACAGCATTACTCTTTTCTTATTGTGGGAGTTACTTTCATGAAGCGAAACAAATACATAAAAATTACTTCATTCGAACATAAGAATATAAAGGAAGCCAATTAGGAATTACATATATGAAATCGTGAAGAAAACCTGAATTTTGAGATTGGACAAAACCTATAGTTCTGCCCTTGCAAATGGGGCTAACGATGCTGAAACAGTCGTCAATTCGTCATAGTAGGTTCTAGCATTTCAAGAGCCGAACTTGCACTCCGAAGAAATTAATAGAATGCCCAATAAAGAACTAACACCAAAATATATGAGAAATAATTAATACTTAACTTTTATACAAATAAAAGAGCATTCCAATAAACGAGTCTCTAGATGTTTGGTACAAAGTTTAGGGGAGAAGAAATAACAAACACAATCCTATATCATCGTGCATAGAGACTCTTTTTTATGATTTAAAACTATAAAACTATTCTAATAGAACAAACTTACGGTTGAGTCGAGTTAGACTGTCTTCACATACACAAGTAATTCCTATATACAAAACAATTTAGCCCAATACTTTTAAAAACTTCAGTATTTGGAAGAACTAAATCAGATGAAGCTAGCTAAATGAAACAAAAGAAAAAACACCCTTAGCTATCTCTATAACATTGAGCATCACCACAAAAGTTGAAATGAGCACACTCAACGCAACGAGAGCCGCCATCCCCAACGCCAAAGATGGCCTAGTATTCATCAAATAGGACTGTAACAACCCTACAGCTTCACAGACATCCTCGTAGTAATGTTCATAGTACTTCTTCTCCCACTCCATCCAATCTGAAGGTGGTTCGTGGCTTGTTTCCATCATTTTCATCTCCTTAATGCGCATTCTTAGGACTATTATATTCTTGTCCACAAGCCTCCCGTCATAATATCGGTCATCATAATATCGGTCATCCGCTTTCCTGCTTGCGCTAACTTCCATGTTTACACGTCCAAGTGATCGTATCCGGCAAGGAGGGTGGATCGAAAACCGCCTAGCAGGAAGCACAGGGCTAGAGATCAAGGATGCTTTCATTGTTGAAGAAGGAAAGACGTAAACTTGTGAGGAGTTTGTGCAAATGATTAAGGTTGATGCTAAACTAAGAGGCCATAGCATAAAATATTTATAGAGTAGAATTGCCAAGAAGTTACGTGTAACAAAGTATTGTCGTGGGCATGAAGGGACGTTGCGGCTAAACCGTGTCTACTGCTGTTGATTATACGTGTAATTAATAAGGTGTCGTGTGGTTTTGATTATCCTTTTTTGTGTTTAGCACCGCATTCGGACAATACTAGGATTACATAGCAAGGACAATATCATCATGAGGGACCCACTTCTTTTGAAGTTACTTTGAAGAATTCAAGGAACTTACCTGCAAAGGAGGAATGTGACGATGATAGAAGGTTGTGAAATTGACTGATTCAACCATTTTGTGAAGAGTGAAATTTCGCCTGAGTGCATACCAATCATTGTGTCCACTACACAAGATATTTAGGTCGGAGGGCCTATTTAAGATGACAAAGCCTTTCCAAGGCCTGTGAGGATCAAATCCCCTCCCCGGTTCTCCTCTCCATCTGCTGTAATTGTTGCGGCTAAAAAAAAAAAAATTATATTCAGACTGTTTGAAATTTGTGACTTAATCGCTCAAATTCTCTAATATTTAAAATATTATATATTGACCCTTTGAAATTTGTACGCGCATAACACTTAAATCTATATAGTCAATGTCTATTAGTATATCTTTTAGTAAATTACACACAGATCCCCTGAATTTTATAGGTGTATAATAATTATACTATTTAAGTATAAAATGCTATACTTAGACAAAAGATTTAAACATTTTAAATTTTACAACTAAAATACATGTCCTATTATGACTAATAGATAGTATAATTGTATACTAATTACAATTTTTAATAAAAAATTTGGATTTTTTTTTTTTGATTTTATTTCAATAATTGATACAATAGAACATAAATTTTGTTTATGAAATTTAAAATATTTGATATTCTATTTTTGATTGTAATATTTTTGGTTTAAGTATAACATTTTAAACTTAAGGGGTTTAAATAATATATGTTTACAAACTTTAGAAAGTCTAGGTATAATTTATTTACGGACATATTTACAACAGGGGTCTAAGTATTAAGTGCGTACAAATTTTAGGGAGCCTATGTGTAATATATTAAATGTCAGAGAGACTGAGTGATTAAGTGACAAGTCTCAAGAGGTCTAGGTGTAATTCTCCCTATTTTAAATATAAGGGAATCTAAGTAATTAAGTGATAAATGTAGGAGAATTTAGTTATAATTCTCTCTATAACATATCAACCACCAAATTATTTTATTCGTTGGTCAATAATATAGACAGTATTCAATAATACATATTTGCATACACTGAACATGTAATAATATCATGTATTTGTAAACAATTGTAATGAATATTTGACTAAGACGGAATCAGTTGCCAGCAATGATATAAATAAAAATTTAATTTAATAGAGTTATTCAACGGTTATTGTCAACTATAAATTTGTATTGATAAAGAACCTATTAAATTTAATATTTATGCAAGGGCATCAAAAAAAATTTTTATGGGAAAGTGAACACTAACATTGCTAAAAACTACCTTCTGCCTAGTTGCTTGTGCATAAATTATTATAAGAAATTTGGGAGTTAAATCCAAACCACAATTAACATTCACATAATTGGTCATGCGTATTTTGTACTCAAAGAATATACTGCTCCATGAACACAAATAAGCAACAACTATACACGTATTTGTGATGTGCAAGGAAGGATCGAGAAGCGGTCCACGGCTCATAAGGTTCCTTAAAATTCCGGTGACATATTAGGACATCATGGCCTGTCTTGGTCAAGTAAATATTTAATATAACGATGATATCATATTATTATTGTTACATAATATCACTAATTAATAATAAAATATTAAATAAATAAAATAAAATAAAAATTATTAATTATTAACCGACATGAACAAGTAGTTGTGTAGAATCTATTGTTTTAATGCTCATGTTGCCCGCTGACACATTAGGACGTCATGGCCCCGTCTTGATCAATCAAAAGATAATCCATCATACCTCTTGATGGTAAGGGTAGGCGGTTAATCAAACTGAGTTATTTTAAATTTGACTTAAGAATGATTTTCAAGTTTAATTTATTTTTTAAATGAGTTTGAATTTGAACAAATTCTTAAACTCGTTTAGAAAATAAGACCTACAAGTTCGATTCAAACTTGATAGACTCGACTTGTTTATGTGCAAATACTCGTGCTCGATTTGTTTTTGACTCGTTCAAGTTCGACTCGTTTAATAAACGAGTCGAATTTAAACAATTTTTTAGACTTAATTAACAAACAAACTTTTTAAGTCCGACTTGGGCTCGTTCGAGTAACAACCCTAATAAGAGGTGGGTTAATCTAATCCTAACAAAACTTAAAATGATAAAATTTTACTCTTTAAAATAATAATAATAATAATAATAATAATAATGTGCTCCTGGTGCCCTAGCAATAAAAGCGTGGGGTGCATTGTAAGTCTCTCATGTTAGACTATGCTTACCCAATTTTTAATTTTTGTATCATAGTTTTTTTTTTAATCCTCCATTATCCATTCTCTTCAATTCTCCTCAATACGGTGCTAGATGAGTGACACGTGTAAAATTTTGAATTTCAATGGATAAGATTTTTTTCTTATGAGAAAATTCCTTAATAATGGTTGACACTCCACAAACAACAAAAATGAATGAAGAAACATCTTATCAATTGAAATTCAAAATCTTACACGTGTCACTCATCCAGCACTGTATTAAGGAAAATTGATGGGACGAGATAATGGAGGGGATCTAAATTCATCGACATATAAGCATGTGTATGTGCTAACACTAAAACGTGCATGAAGCACAATATAAAATAATGTTCAAGTGTTTAAAAAATAGATTTCATTATATCAAATAATAAATTCTTTATTTTCTTTTCTTTAATTACATGTGTCCACTATTGCATAGGAAATGCTTGAAATAAAAACTGTATTGAGCCATAAATTTATAAAAAATTAAATGATTCAACTTGTTATAGAAATGGCCGATGTGATAGAAATGAGCAAAATTGGATCAATTTTTATCATTATTGTGCTTTTATAAGTTGAGAGAATTCAACTTGTAAGCTATAATATTAAATAAATTTTTCCGATCAATAGCTAGATTTGGAGTATAATTTAGAGTCATTTTCGAGATGTTTTTTGATAATAATTTTTATGCGGCATGTACTTTCAAAATGGTAATGTTTTAGGCATGGTTCAAAATCTGGTGTGACTAGGGGTGTTAATTGAGACGATTTATTCGGGCTCAACTCGGATAGGACTCGGTTTGAGTTTGACTCGTGTTCTAAATGAGTTGAGCTTGAACAATTTTTTAGACTCATTTAAAAAAATAAGTCTAAAAGGCTTGATTCGACCTTGCAAAACTCGACTCGTTTATATGTAAAATAGTCAAGGTACTAGGCCTTTGCTCGGACTCAAGTCATTTTCTAAACAAGCCAAACTTGAACAATTTTTTAGACTCATTTAAAAAATGAGCTCAACAGGCTCGAACTCAAGATCGTAAAATTATGATTGATTAACACCTATAGGTGCGACACATGACAATATTTCACTAGTAGGTTGTCGGAAACAATTTTCCGTTTTGGAGGCCAAAGGTTTTTAATGTTTGTCCTAGCTCCAATTTATAGTAAATCCAAATGTTACAATGAATTAGATCAGTAAATTATAATAGGAAATTACGTCTCAATCACTAATGCACAGTTTAAATATGGTGTGAGTTGCATGATTCAAGTGGTTGAATATGAGGTGGAGTTTGAATTCGAGTTTCATTGACTGTATAAAATTTGAACCAATAGATAAAATTAAGTGTTAATCTCAAATTACACCCCGAAAGATCTTCTGAATCTCAAATTACACCCTCAAAGATATAATTTCGTAGTATTTTACACCTAAGGCTAACAGCCATCCACTTTTTTGTCTAAACCAAAGTCACGTGAGTTAGAGGTGGGAGGGGCATGGGCTTAAGTGTAAAATCACAGCCCCATGTGATGAGCTTTTCCTGAGGAAAACCTCAGTCTCAACATACAAAATAAAGACGGGCAGTTGTTCACCTTGAAGATCGTAGAGGTGGAGATGCGTAGCTGTTCCCCTTGAAGATCTGCAAAATGTCTTGGATAGTTAGAGAATACAACAATGATTTATGCATTGGAGATACGCCAGATTATGGTAAGGGTTTTCTTTCTCTGTCTCTGTTTTTGTTATACTGACACTGTACATCATTGTTTTTTGTTTTTCTATTTTTGTGACTTTGATTCTTGGTTTTTTTTAATCTTTCTCAAATAGTTTTCCCATTTGTTTAGTCCAAATGGTTCTTGCCCTTAGTTTAATCGAAAAAAATACATATTGTATTTTGCCTTTTGACTTTTGCGTTGATTGTGATTTGAAAATGATTCTTGTTTTGTTTGTTTATCTGAGAGTGTTTTGGGAACTTGGGTGGACCTATTTTTATATTGGATGTGGGGTTATGGTTTTTCTTGGCTTTTTTCTCTTTGGAGGCTTTTTTTGTTTGCTTTATAAATTTTTTTATGCAGGTGATGATTCCGGATATTTCACAATTAGAATGCATCACAATTGAAAATTTGATGGTTGTGGTGATAAAGTGTATATTGGTGGAAGAGTGAACAATATTGATATGTGTCACTTTGATCAAATTTCCCTTATAGAGTTGGATAACATGCTAAAGAATATTGGAGTTGGTTATAATCAAATTACCATATTCTATCAGAGAATAGGTAATGGATGGAGAGCTTTGGAAAATGATCAACATGCTATGGACTTGATAAAATGGGTTGACAAGGTTAAAGTGATTGATGTATATATGGAACATATTAGGCAAGAATTGTTCAATCATAGTCAAGCAGATTCAAATTGTGGTCCATCAGAAAAAAGATTTGGGAGCCAAAATATACATGTGTTTGAACAGGAAACCAATTTATGGGGTCCTAGGGTTCCCACTGAGAGTTATAGGTCCTCTGAAAGTGATGTTTTTGATAGTGATTCATATTCCAAGGGTTCAGATTCTAAGTTTGAAGATATGTATGATAGTGTATATGATGAATATTTGCATGAGACAATTGTTGAGAGTGACAAAGGTGAAAGGTTTGACAAACCAAAAAGGAAAGGGGTTCAGATTGAGATAGAGACAACACAAGAGCATGAATGTGGCGTAGGAGGTGAAGATTGTGAATCTGATGAGTTACGAAGTTTAAGTGGCTCATTATCCGATAATGATGAAACAAGGCATCAGAGGAAGAAGTATTCACAATTTAATGCTAAGAGTGACATGGTTGATCCACATTTTAAGCTTGGGATGTTGTTCAAAAATTCAGTTGAGTTTAGAGCGGCAGTGAGGCAACATGCAATTAAATGGGGGAAAAAATACGGTTTTCTAAGAATGAGAGGTATAGAATCAGAGCAATATGTAGGCCAGGGTGTGATTGGATGATTTATGCTTCAAGATTGGGTTTAGAAAAGACTATGCAGGTTAAAACATACAATGGTTCACATAGTTGCACTAGAACTTTTAAAGTTAAGCATGCTTCCTCTGACTAGGTTGCAGATACATATTCTGATAGACTTAGATAAAATCCCACTTGGCCCATGAAGTCATTAAAGGAAACTATTGAGAAGGAACATGTTATCAAATTGGATAGATGTCTGGTATATAGAGGTAAAGAAAAAGTAATGACAATGGTGAATGGAACTGATAAGGAGCAGTTCAGCCTCTTATGGGATTATTGTGAAGAGTTAAGAAGAACAAACATTGGCACAACCTGCATTATTAAGACAAAGGCTCTGGGAGGTGACAAATTCATGTTCAAGAGGTTGTATATATGTTATGGGGCATTTAAAAAGGGGATTTCTTGAGGATTGTCAACCCATTTTTGGTTTAGATGGGTGTCATTTGAAGGGGTTACAAGCTGGTGTTATGTTGTCAGCAGTGGGAATCGATTCAAACAACCAAATATATCCTTTTGCATTTGTTGTAGTAGAGAAAGAAAAGAAGAAATCCTGGTCATGGTTCCTTCAACTTCTAAAACAGGATCTTTGTATTGTTAACACCACAACTGACTTTTATGTCAGATAAGCAAAAGGCAAATGCCTTTCTAATTATTGTTTATCACTTTTTTGCAAATGCCTTTCTAATTATTGTTTATCCTAGTCATATTTTTTGCACATATGTTAAACTACCAATTTTTTTTACGAGGACTACTTGATTCAGTTGAGAGCCTTTTTCCTAATGCTGCACACAGGTTCTGTGTGAGGCATATGTACAACAATTTCAAATCTGAACATAAAGGTTTAGCATTGAAAGACTTATTATGGAGGGCTGCTAAAGCAACAACGGTGACAAATTTTACCAGGATTATGGATGAACTGAAAGAAGTTGATGCAACTGCATACAATTGGTTGTCTGAGAGACCAGCAATTAATTGGTCTAGATCCCATTTTAGTTCCATTCCCCAGTGTGATATGTTGCTTAATAATTTATGTGAGAGTGTTAATGGTTGAATTGTTGAAGCTAGGGATAAACCTATAATCACAATGCTAGAAAAAATAAGATTGTGGTTAATGGAAAGGTTGCATCATCAAAGGGATTCCCTAAAGAATTATAAAGGATCTATTTGCCCTAATATTCAAGGTAGATTGGAGGCAATTAAAGTTGAATCTGCTGGTTTCATATCATATTGGAATGGGGGTGATCAATTTGAGTTAGGTGATCATATCAAAGGATTGTTGATGTGAAGAAGAGGACATGTAGTTGTAGGAAGTGGGATTTAACAAGAATCCCATGTAAGCTTGCAGTATCTGCTATTAGCTTTCTAGGATTTCAACCAGAAGATTATGTGGCTCAGTGGTGCAAGGTGGAAACTTTTATCATGTGTTATAGCCATCTTATTAATCCTATAAATGGAAAAGAAATGTGGCATAGAACATGTAATTCACCTTTGCTTCCTCCAATTGTAAGCAAGAGACCTAGCAAGCCTAAGACAGTTAGGAGGAGAGAGATTGATGAACAACCAAAAGGTTTCAAGTTGATGAGGAAGTATAAGCCTGTTGTGTGTTCAAATTGTGGTCAAAGTGGCCATAACAAAAGAAAGTGTAAAAAGCAAACAGTTACACCAATTACGCCAGCACCGGTTACGCCATCAATTGGTGTCAACACATCTGCATTCTCAATTGCAAGAGCAAAAGTGAAGTTGCCAGTAAGTGCAGCACTAATTTTCCTTTAAGTTTGTTAGAAATGTTGAATGTATAGTTGAACTAAGTTAATGTTTATTATTTCCAGGTTCGGAGGAAAAAAATTTCAACAACACCAGCTTCATCAGCATCAACATCTGTACCAGTAACATCATTTGTGCTTGCAACATCATGTATACCAACACCAACACCATCACACATGAAATGGAGGCCACCAGCTTCATCATCAACAACATGGAGGCCACCAACACCATCTTCATATGCAACACCAACTTCATCATCAACATCATGGAGGCCACCAACACAATGAAATAGAATATCGACATTTTTTTAAATGAATTTTTTTTGTGGATTTCTCTTTAAACAGTGTTTGGTTGTAAGTTTTTGGGATGATTTCTGACTAATTGTTGGAAATCTACTTTTGGACCATATTTATGTGGAATATTGGAATTTGGTGGATGAAATATATTTTTAGATCATATTTATGTAGATGCCTTTTCTTTCCTTTTACAAATTTATGTCTTTGTAGGTGTAAATTAAATTTTTTTAAATTTGAGGGTATAAGTTAATATTTTGGAAAAATTTCAATGACACCCCTCTAGTTTACCATATATTTAAGGACACCCCCTCTATTTTCTGAATCTTCAATGACATCCTTTCTAGTTTAATTTAAACATCACTAACACCCCTTACTATTAAACTATTATTTCTAACAAAATGAATTCATCTAAAATACTAAAAATGCCCTTACATAATCTCAAGTAATTTTTTTATATAAAATTTTATTAAAATTCGAGCTGTTAAAATTTTAAAAAAAATCATAAATAACAATTTTAGTAAACAATTTGTTAGTAAATACTAATTTTTATTTACTAATAAGTAAATTTAAAAAAAATCGAGCCTATTAAAAAAAATTACATATTAAAATTTGAGCCGATTTGAACTCTATCCGAGTTGTTAGAGCCGATTAAAATTCTCTTTCGAGTCGATTATAATTTATATTTTTTTCTTATTAAAATCTGTGTCAATTAAAATTAGATTTATTAAATTTTAAGTCAATTAAAATTCATATATTTTTATATATTAAAATTTAGGCTGATTAAAATTCAATGCGAATTAATTAAAATTTTATTTGAGTTGATTAAAAATAATTTTTAATTGGCTCAAACAAAATTTTAATTAGCCCAAATTCTAATAAGTAAAAAAAATATAATTTTTAATTGGCACAAATTTTAATATGTAAAAAAAATATTTTAATTAGCTTGAATCGAATTTTAGTCGATTTGAATTTAATTATATAAAAAAAATTAGAAAACAGAGGGGGTCTCATTGAAAATATACTTATCTAGAGGGGGTCTCATTGAAGATATGTTTATTTAGAGGGGTGTGGATGAAGTTTGTCCTCAAATATATCATGGGTAATTTAGTAAAATTGCATTCTACTTAATTCCAGACTTCGAGCAAAATTTGTTGAGTGTTGGTCAAATGGTGGAACATGGGTATGTAGTTCACTTTAAAGATGATACTTGCAAGATTTATGACAAATGAGGGAGCAAGCAAATGGTGGCAACAATCAAGATGGACAAAAATAGAAGCTTTTCACTCACTTTAAGGTATGCAAAAAATGCTGCTTTGAAGATGAATGTTGTGGATGAGACTTGGCTTTGGCTTAAGAGATTTGGTCACTTGAATTTTCAAAGTTTGAAGTATCTACAACAAAATGGCATGGTGCATGGGTTTCCAATGATTCAAGAAGTCAAAGAAGTTTGTGAAGGCTATACTCTTGGGAAACAACACTGGGAGGCATTTTCCAAAAAATAAGGCATGGAGAGTTAAAACAACATTGGAGTTTATTCATACCGATGTGTGCGGACCTAGGGACACAACAACTCATAGAGGTAACAAGTATTTCATTACTTTCATTGATGATTTTTCTAAAATGACATGGGTTTAATTTATGAGATAAAAATCGGATATGTTTAATGTTTTTCAAAAATTTCAAAATTTTGTTGAAAGGCAAAGTGGTCACCTATTAAAGTGTTAAGAAGTGATAGAGGTGGTGAGTATAACTCTAATGAATTTATGAAGTTTTGTAAAGATACTGGGATGGAAAGACAATTGACCGTTGGGTATACTCCATAACAAAATGAAGTGGCGGAGAAAAAAAAATAGAAAAATTGAAGAAATATCTAAATCAATGCTTCATGAAAATGGTTTGCCCAAAACCTTTTCGGGCGAGGCCGTTAACACGGCGATTTACTTGTTAAATAGATGTCCAACAAAATTCCTTTCAAACAAAACTTCATTTGAAAAATAGAGTAAAAGAAAGCCCTCGGTTAATCACTTGAAAGTGTTTGAGTATATTTGTTATGCACACGTTCCTAAAGAAAAGAGGCATAAACTTGATAAAGTTGGTGAAAAATGTATTTTTGTGGGCTATAGCACTAAATCAAAAGGTTATAGACTCTACAATTTGAAGAAAGATAAGTTGATTATTTCAAGAAATGTCATATTTGATGAAAAAGCCTTTTGGGATTGGAAATAAAAGAATGTGCAAAATCATTTTTCTCCTACTTAAGAAAAGGTGGGGAGTGAAGAAAGTGATGATGAGGATCTTGATGTTCCAAATCAAATGTCTTCTATTGCTAGTCCACAATCAACTTCATCAAGCTCAAGTTCTTCGTTTCCAAGTTCAACTCCAAGAAAAATGAGAAGTCTTAGTGATGTGTATGCAAGATGCAACTTTTGTGCGATTGAACCAGAGAACTTTGAAAAAGCAATTAAACTAGAAGTTTGGAAGAAAGCAATCCAACAGGAGATTCGGGTGATTGAAAAGAACAAGACGTGGGAGTTGATGGAGAGAGCCAAAGAAAAAGAAGTGATTGGTGTAAAGTGGATTTACAAAACAAAGCTTAATCTGGATGGGTCAATTCAAAAGAACAAAGCAAGGCTTGTTGCAAAGAGGTATTCTCAACAAACGGGTATTGATTATCAAGAAACATTTGCACTGGTGGCTCGGCTTGACACAATTAGAGCACTTATTGCTTTGGCGGCTTAAAAGGGATGGTTCTTGTACCAACTTGATGTGAAGTCCGGATTCTTAAATGGAGATTTGGAGGAAGAGGTGTATGTGGATCAACCTCAAGGCTTTGTTGTCAAAGGAAAAGAAGATAAAAATTACAAGTTGAAGAAGGCATTATATGTATGGTATAGCAAGATCGATTCCTACTTCAACAATAAAGGCTTTCAAAGGAGCAAAAGCGAGCCAACCTTGTACACCAAAAAATAAGGTAACACCAGTATTCTTATTGTTTCTCTTTATGCTAATGATCTTGTTTTTACCGAAAATGATGAAAATGTTACCAAATTGTGAGCATAGATTTTGTCTTAAACATATGCACAACAATTTCAAAAAACAACATAAAGGAAAGTTGCTTAGAGATATGATGTGGAATTGTGCTAGTGCTACTAGGAAGGCAATGGATGCCCTAAAAAATGAGAGTGTTACTACTTTTGATTGGCTAGCCACATCTGTACACCCACAGCACTAGGCTAGATCACATTTCTCTATTGTTTCTAAGTGTGATCACTTACTGAATAACGATGATGAATCATTTAATGCATTCATTCTAGAAGCAAGAGATAAGCTTATCATTTCCATGTTAGAAACTATTAGGAAACTCTTGATGGATAGGATAGTGATGATGAGAGAAATTATGCTAAGGTTGTTTGGACCTAATTGTCTTGGTGTTAGACAAAGGTTAGAGAAAGTGATTGCAGAGTCTATGACATGTAGTCCCAGGTTCAATGGTGTGTCAAGTTTCCAAGTGTCATGTTCTGATGGGTCACAATTTACATTGAATGTGAGGGATAGAAGTTGCACTTGCAGGAAATGGGATTTAACTAGGATTCCATGTGCTCATGGTGTGTCTGTCATTCACTACAATGGTGGTGATCCACACATGTATATGCATGATTATTTCAAGAGAGACAAATATTTATAAACCTACAGTCATGTGTTCCAGCCCATTAATGGCCTTAATATGTGGCCTCATACAGGGAGAATTCCATTAGGCCCACTAATTGTCCATGTGCAACCAAGTAGACCAAAAAAGACAAGAAAAAGGGATCAACATGAGCCTCCCAAAGTTGAAAAATTGGGTAAGAGAAGGGTTAAGATGACATGCACCAACAATGGGAATACAAACCATAACAAAAAAAATTGTTAAAGGAATACTCAACAGACTCAACAAAATCAGCAAGCTCCACATATGGATTAGCAAGCTGAACAGAATTAGCAAGGACATCAGAATGAGGAGAATAAACAAGGACAACAGAATGAACATCATCAGCAGAATCAACTGGTCATAGAAGGAATAAATTGCCAGTGAGTTTTTTGTATTACATAGTTATGGTATTAAGCATATGGTAAAAAAAATTGTTTTAATACAAGTTGTTTTAATGCACTTCTGGTAAGAAGGTTTAAAGGAAGTGGAAAACAATTCAATCCTCCAAGACCAGCCTCAATCTCAGTCACTGTCATAACTCAACCATAACCACCAAGGCTAACAACTAAGAGCTCAGTCTCAGCCACTGCCACATCTCAACCACAACCATCAAGGCCAACAACTAGAAGCTCAGTCTCACCTACCACCAAATCTCAATCACAACCATCAAGGCCAACAACTAGGAGCTCAGCCCCAACCACTGTCACATCAAATTCACAACCAACAAGTTCTACCTTTTCCTAGTCACACTCAGCAGCTCATGGTCATTTTTTTGTAAGACCAGGAAAATCAAAGTTAGTATCTTCACTACAACAACAATTTGAGGCAATGAAAAACAAGAAAACTTCGTTTCATAGGGGTAGCATTTGGAGGTCTTTTGTATAGGATTATGTCAGTGCAGTTTGTCATCACAGTGATGTTTTGTATAGGATTATACCAGGGCATTTTGTCATCACAGTGATGTTTTGTATAAGATTATAACAAGGCATTTTGTTATCACAGTGATGTTTTGTATAGGATTATGTTTATGCTTTTTGTTATGCCAGTGCATTGTGAACACATCCCTATAATGATGTTTCATTTCTAAGTAATTATACTGACTATTCTTATATGGGCTTGCAGTGCCTCAGATTCCACTGAAATAATCAAAAACTAAAACAAGTTGCATTACCAAAAGAATTACACAACATGATTACAATAAAAACCATTAGTACAAGAGTCATTAGTACAATACAATTTACACTTTGTTGAACAATTATCATTACTACTTTGGTGCCCAAATTAGTGTAATTTATCACCCAATACCCAGTGCATTTTGAGTAGATGGACTCTTTACAACATCTTCATGATTGCTGCTCTACATAAGCCACAACAACAACCATGAAATTATCAGCACTATCCACAAACAAATCTCTCGTCATCTCCTTCTCCTCAATTGGTTCTCTATTGTCGAAATGCGGTTTATCAATCCTAGAATTATCTGGCGCGCATGAAGGCACATAGGCGGATCGCACCAAACAAAGAAACCACATCTCCCAGTCTAAATGAAATTTGCATTATAAGAGAAACACTTTAAAAATTTTGTGATAAAGTAAAATAAGAAACAATTTCTTATTTGCCACAGGTAAGAGAAACAAGATAAGAGAAACACTTTCATTTAAAAACACAAAAGAAAGTTACCATGGATTTGCCACAGGTATAAAACCTCCTTCCTGGATTTGGATTCTTCCATGAGGTCTTCAACACTGCCATAGTGCCACAGTTACAAGACACATCCATGGCTTCTATCACTGCTAAATCCAATGCTTCTACAGTGCCCTTGTTGCACAGCCCACTTTCTCCTTCTATCGTCTGCCAATCATGCCATACAAAGAAAATGCAAATTTATATTGCAACAACAGAGCAACAGGAGGAGGGAAAAGGGAAGAAGTTTGGCGCCAAAAACCACATCCATTGAGTATAATATCCATTAAGCCCTTAGTTCCTGACACTTTCCATGTTGTCGTTAGTTTTAACGTCTGAAATAGACAAAATTAGTTGATTGGTATAGATGTAAAAGTATAAGGGCTAAATTAGTACAATTGAATGTTCAGGGGCCAATTTAAATGGACACAAAAGTTTGAGGGGCATTTATGTTGTTTACCCTATAATTAAGCTTAGAATAGGAAGAATATCATACACCTTTGGTTATCCCAAGTTAGAGCATTGAATGCTTATATGTATGTTGTGGGGAAGATGTTGGTTTGGGAATGAGTTGTTCTTACTTTATTGTGTTAGCAAAAAAAAAAAAAAAAGAGTTCACATTAGCAAAGAGCAATCAAAAGAAAAATAAATGAAAAGAAAAAATGCAGCGTGCTTCTAATAGCAAAAGGGTGAGAGGTTGTAAAATTATATTGAGAATGGTTGTGTAATGTAATGCTTTATCTTGGGCTAACATTTTGAATTCTTGAATAACTTTCATTTCATCAAACCTTAACGTCAATGTCCCATTACAACCTAGTAAAGTCATTTTTGATCCCAATAGTGTATTGGTGATGCATGACTTGTGTCGGTAAGGATAGAGATAGAGGAGGTTTGCATGCCAAAATTCTTTGGTTGGGAAAAGTGCAAGACACAATAAATAATATTGTCATATTTAAAAAAAATTAGTAATAATTTGAATCTCACGCCTTAAAAAGTATAAGCCTAAACTAATTTACAAATTAGGTACCAACTTTTTAGTTTTCAACAATTATTAATTTAATTAATTATAATTATTAGATTAAAAATAAATTTTATTTAGAGTAATATTACATGAACTTAAAATAAATTATCAAGTCTAATTTATAAATTCATGTAGCATTACTCTTTTATTTAACATTAAAACTCACAATTAAATACAAAAATTATAATGAATTAAGCCGTTAATTATATCCAACTACTTAGATCGTCCTTTAAATCAAGTGTCGTTTCGTTTCGTACGGGCTAATTAGATTGTAGTTTACTCTCCATTTTTCTACCCAACTTCTAGAAGGATCCATGATTCCACCTTGCTTTTTTTGGGCAACTTCCTTGATTCCTCTTAAAGCAGCTTCAGGGAAGATGGTCCCTCAAGTACGATAATTTCCTTGCCTGTGATCCTTGATTCCTTGTATTTTCCGAATGCTTTCCTTTAAAACAAAGGACAAGACCTAATAAACTTTTTGATATCAAACTTAAAAATTATAAACGTAACTGCCACTGCAGTTTATTTGTAAATTTTAATTTTGAAAATACTAATGTAAAATAAATGGATAAATTTAATAAAAAAAACCTTGCATATATTAAAATAATTATACATCAAATGTGAGTCTGTGGGTGGATTTGTGAGTCCCACTATTATTTAATGGTTAACAATCTTTCAGTGTACAAATTTAATACAAATAACATTACCTTTATCCAAAATAAATTTTAGATTCTTTTTCGATAAATAAAGTCTCACGGCACGTTCATATGTTGCCACGTACCCATTTGGTTACACGCTTAATCAACACTATACAACCTGTCATAGTAGACGCGTTCCCTTCATGCCAAAGATAATACTTTATGACACGTAATTTCTTAACAATTTCTCTTTATCTAGATTGTGGGTGCATAGTTTTATTTTTTGACCAATGAATATGCGCCACATATCCACTAGTTCTATGATGTACTATTTTAATTAATAATTATAAATTATTCAATTTAAAATCAACTGTCAGACAAAGGGAGCGTAGCCTTGCCCCTCCCTATATATATGCCATAACCTCAGAGTTTAACTTCATCACTAATCATTTGCATTGCCTCCGCACAAGTTTACCTCTTCAACCATGAAAGCCACCACCTTGATCTGTTGCCCTACACTTCCTGCCACGCCCTTGTCAGCCCAACCTCGTCGCCGGAGAAGACAACTTGGTCGCTTGAGCACTGTTGTTAATGCTAGAAGGGATGCGAATGGCCGAGATTATGACGGGAGACTCGTGGATGAGAACATGATAGTCCTGAGAATGCGCATCAAGGAGATGACAATGATGGAGACCAACCATGTACCGCCATCGGATTGGATGAAGTGGGAGAAGCAATACTATGAACATTACGATGAAGATGTATGTGAAGCTGTAGGACTGTTGCAGTTCTATTTGATGAATACTAGGCCATCTTTGGCGTTGGGTATGGCGGCTCTCGTTGCGTTGAGTGTGCCCTTTTCAACTTTTGTGGTGATGCTCAATGCCGTAGAGATAGCTAAGGGAGTTTTTTCTATGTTTCAATTTGCTTGAGCCTTGATCTGATGTAGTTTATGCATTAACGAAGGAATCCAAAGCAGTGGAATTCAGTCACAACCGAATGAAAATATAATAACAACTTGAATCAAATACTTCAAGTTCCCAAACTCTCGGCTATGAAGGGCAGATTTTAAAAATTGGCCTCCCGGGCTAGTTGAGGGAAAAGAAACTCGCAATCTTATTCAGCCATTATGGTAATAGAGTAATTTTACTCTGGGGAACCCATTTGGCTTTGCTTGTGCCGACCGGCGGAAGTGCCGACTGGCAGGCACAAGTCACCAGCCTCTCTTTAGTTCTACCAAGCCAAAGAGGATGCCTTTCACTTCGCTAGTGCCGACAGGCAAGAGCAAGCCACCAAGGCATTGGGTCCCGCCGAGGCAGCTATCAAAGCATTGTAGTCCGGCAATAATGCCCAACGGGCTTGCCAAGAGACACAGCGAGGGCTTCTTCTGCTTACCCGCTTCCATTGGTCGAGTCCTACTCAGCTAAGATTGATCTGAAACTTAGAGTACCTGCAAAACACTACTCCGGTTGTCTAGGAATAGGTTATAAGGAGTTAGGACCAGAGTCCTAATCAAACTCTACACCCTACTTATAAGACCGGGTGACTAGTTAAACCAATCAACCATGAGTTCAGGTTCTTTTGAGATATGTCTCTATACTACTATAAATAAAGGCTCGGGTACCATTTAATTCAAGGAAATCTAGGCCTATTCATTCTATGCCTTTTTTTGACTCGCTATCTAATTTAAGCATTGAAGTCTATTTGGTTGGCTTCGATCATCGGTTCACCTAAACATCTTCTTGTCTTGTAGGTTACCCAAGGATTTCTCGCCACCCTCTTCGTCCATACAAGGTGCAGACTCATAATGCAAAATTATCTTTGGACAATTGGCGTTGTCTGTGAAAAAATGACTAAATTTTTCACCAACTAAAAAACTTGAATCATGTCCGGCGAGAGAACCCTTGATCCTAGAACTAGCCAAACACTACTTCCTCTACCCTCAATTAGGGGCAACCCAAGATTATTTAAGGTCTAAAGCAATAATTAAAAATGAGGCTTTTATTTTTGATATTAATAATTTTTTATTTAAAATTTATTTATTTTTTAGATTAAAAGTACTATTATTTTTTCCTTAAAAGTATTTTGAAGATGCAAGTGGATGTCTTGTATGCCTCCACTAAGCCCCAATTACCCTACCCCCCTCCTAGTTCCCCTAAACCACATTTCCACATGTAGACTTTCATCAGTTAACCAATTCAAACTCTACATTTTAACAAACTCCTAATTCAACCTTAATTTAGATAATCGAAGTTTATAGTTTACATCCCCGTATTTTCCAAAAATTCTTAATTTTGTCTCATTACTAACTTCAATTCTTCATTTAAATACCCATTCTTATATAAAATATTATGTATGCATGATCGGATCTGATACTAGTATTCGACACGGACTCATAAATAACATGACACAATTGTCACCTCTACTTTATACCATCATTGCAAGGACTAGTTACATGAATAGGTACGGTATAATGACAAATTAGGAAGACAAGCATGGATACGAAATGAGAATATGATTGTAAAACTAGAATATCTCTTCAAATTATGGAAACTAATAGAAAAATAGTGTTTGAATCTAATTTGGAGATTTTAATCAATTATAATTATTAGATTAAAAATAAAATCTATTTAACATTGAAATTCACAACTAAATTCAGCAACTACAATAAATTAGATCGCTAATTATGTCCAACTACTTTGATCGTTTTATTTCGTTTGGCTCGAGCTAATTAGATCATAGTTTACTTTCAATTTTACTTTTCAATTGTATTTTTTATCTTGTGAAAGTTATGTTTTCTTGAGATCAACGGTTCAAGCCCATTTCTCCTTTCTCTCCCCTCTAAACAAAAAGACTTTTAAAAAAAAAATATATATATATATATATATTTTTTTTTTCCTTGCTTTTTTTGTGCAATTTCATTAATTCCTCTTAAAGCAACTTCAAAGAAGATGGTCCCTTAAGTATCATAATTTCCTTGCAAGTAATCATTGATTTGTTCTATTTTTTGAAAAGTAATATTATTTAAACTTAAAAAATTAACACGATTTATTGATATAACGATGTAATTTCATTAAAATTATTAAATTAACACTAAGTTCTAATGTTTAATACATTTCACAATCAATTCAAAGGTCATAATAAATTAAATATAAATAACATTACTTTTTTTAGAGTTCTTTCTCTTAAAATAAAGGACAAGACCTAAGAAAAAAGTTTGATATCAAACTTGAAAAATTTACACCTAACTTTTACTTTGGTTTATTTGTAATTATTAATCTTGAAAATACTAATGTAAAATAAAGAATAAATTTAAAAAAAAAAAACTTTGCACACATTGAAAAGTAAGACACGCACCTTAAAATAAACAATAAGGTTATTTTTATCCAAATGAACAAATTTGCGAAAATTAGTGCACACTAACAATCATTTAGTATCTAAATTCGATGCACGTAACATTATTTTATCCAAAATAAATATTAAATTCTTTGTCTAAAAATAAAGCCACACGGCACTTTGATGTGTTGGCACGTGTCCAATTGGTTACACGTATAATCAACATTTTACAACATAAATAAAAGACACGGTTCAGCCGCCACGTCCCTTCATGCCTAAGATAATGCTTTATCACACGCAATTTCTTAACAATTTTTCTCTCTCTAAGGTGTGGGTGCATGTTACCGTACTGAACCGACCTTTTTAATTTTCGTAGTTTTATTTTTTGACCAATGAATATACGCCACATATCCACTTGTTATATCTTATAATTTTATTGTTATATTATTTTTAATTAATTATTATAAATTATTTAATTTAAAATCAACTGTCTGACAGAGGTAGCGTAGCCTTGCCCCTCCCTATATATATGCCATAACCTCAGAGTTTAACTTCATCACTAATCATTTGCATTGCCTCCGCACAAAGTTTACCTCTTCAACCATGAAAGCAACCACCTTGATCTATTGCCCTACACTTCCTGCCACGCCCTTTTCAACCCATCCTCGTCGCCGGAGAAGACAACTTGGTCTCGTGAGCACCGTTGTTAATGCGAGAAGGGAAGCGAATGGCCGAGATTACGACGGGAGACTCGTGGACGAGAACATGATAGTACTGAGAATGCGCATCAAGGAGATAACAATGATGGAGACGAGCCACGTACCGCCTTCGGATTGGATGAAGTGGGAGAAGCAATACTATGAACATTACGATGAAGATGTCTGTGAAGCTGTAGGACTGTTGCAGTTCTATTTGATGAATACTAGGCCATCTTTGGCGTTGGGTATGGCGGCTCTCGTTGCTTTGAGTGTGCCCTTTTCAACTTTTGTGGTGATGCTCAATGCCGTAGAGATAGCTAAGGGGCTGTTTTCTTTGTTTCACTTTGCTTAAGCCTTGATCTCATATAGTTTATGTGTTAACTAAGGAATCCAAAGCAGTGGAATTCAGTCACAAACCCGAACTTGTATTAATGGATCAATTACTAAACAGCTTAAAATTTTGAATCAAATGTAAATACAATAACAACTTGAATCAAATACTTCAACTTCTTCAAGTTCCCAAACTCTCGGCTATGAATGACAGACTTTAAAAATTGGCCTCCCGGGCTATTTGAGAAAAAAGAGCTCAGAAACTCACAATCTTATTCAGCTGTTATGGTAATTAGAGTAATGCTACACTCAATAAAAAAATTCAAGACTGAAAATAAAGATTAAATGATTTTTTTAGGGGAAGGGCGGAAAGAATAAGAAAAGAGATAAGGTTAAAATCCACAATCACTTATTAACGAAAATAAGTTTTTACTATTGATGGATTCTCTCACCTCTCTCAAAACAAATTTTAAAAATTAAATATATAAAAATAAAATAAAAAATATCATTATTACCATATCATAATATTTAATCCTTATTTTAAATTTTTTTAATCGGTGCGGCATTACTCAGTCAAAAAATTCAAGTTTTCCACGGAAGCAAGAAATGTGCACCCCCTGAATAGTATGTTGAATAGGAGGAGGAAGGAGGATAACGTGGAATAGCACAGTATTGCGGCGCAGATATCGTTGAGAGGCTCCTGGTCCTGGGTGGTGTCAGTATGACTTTAAAAAACAACAAAGTAAGGTAAATTACAATAACACCCCTTAAAAAAAATAATTACCGAGATACCTCCCATGATTGTTTATTATCAATATCACCCCTTTGTTGTCTATGTGTCCATTTCACATATTATTTTTACTATCTGGGATGTTACTGACAAGTCCAAAAATTAATAATGTCACCGCATATTTTACATTAAATTACAATGTTACCCTTCAATTTTAAAAGTGCAAAGTATTGCTCATACACCCAAACATATCTCTTCTTTCTGTTCTAAACAAACTAATCCGAAAACCAAACAATCCCCATGTCTTCCACTGTCCTCTTCTTCATATCTCACTCACTAATTCGCTCTCACAAACATGCCATACACATGGCTACATGCATCATCAATTGAACAGTAATTTGATGAGATGATATGTTAATTCATCAATCGAATGTTAATTTGTTAAAATTGAATGTTAATTTAGTGCTTATAGAAAAAAAATTTATTAATTTGATGTTAATTGATGAGATTAAATATTAATTTGTTGTTAAATTTATGAAGTTTGTGTTAATTTGATAAAGTGAATGTTAAATTAAAGAAATTGAATGTTAATTTGGTAAAATTTAATTTTGAATTCATGAAATTGAATGTTAATTTAGTGTGAATGTGAAGAAATTAAATTATAAATTGATAAAATTGAATGTTAATTTGACATTAATTCGATGAAAATTAAAAATTAATTGAATAAAATTGAATGTTTTTTTGATGTGAATAAATTTTTGATATATAAAATTAAAACCATTGTCAATGAAAAAGAAGGTGATAGAAAGGGGCTTCGAAAGAACTCTTAAGAAGGACGCAGCAAGTGAGCCTATTAAGTTGTTATTGAGCCCAAGTCTTTCCAAAATGGGGGTCACTTTATTGATAACATATAACGCGAGTGGATGAGCATTTATCGTGGCTACAATCCTATACAAGTGTCGGGTGATTTGTACTCACTTGTGTCTCGAATGGAAGACTACATGGCCTTATTATCGTTCATATGTTGCCACCAGTGCTAAATTTGTGGAGCACTGCTCAGCTACCATCGGTACTCTGATTAGAATAATTCATTACTTAGAAAAAATTCAAAAGCTTTGCCACTGAAACAAAGAGATCTCTTGATCAAGCAAAAAGAATTTCACAAACCACAAATTAAAGAGAAACAAGAGTTCATTTAAACAAAGAATGAAAGAACAGGATCAGGTACAGAAATCTACCAGTCTATTCTTAATTGTAACATCTACATACAAATTGATGCTAAATCCTCATCAACTAAGATGAAATCCTGGCAAAACCCCATGAGCTGCCTCGATCAAACGCGCCACGATCACAAGTGCCGATGTTGGGACACTAATGGTGATGATCACCAGCATCCCAAGAGCCATACTAGGCCTTGTATTCATCAACTGTGTTTGTAGAAACCCAACAAATTTACAAACAAATTCATCATAGCACACATAATATTGCTTCTCCAACTCCATCCATTCTGCAGGAGGCTCGTAGTTACGCTCCATCACCTTCATCTCATGAATGCGCTTCCTCAGCACGATCATGCTTTCATCGACGAGCAGTCCTCTGTAATCCCAACCATTGGACCCTCTTCCACAGGCAACAAATTGGCCACTGGATCTCTTTAATCGACGAAATCACATTTCCGGGTGTTGCAGGGAGCTGGGAGAAAAGGATAGTGGTGGAAGAATTGAAGAACAAAGGGATGATGATGCTGTATTCATTGCTAAAGTGGCTGATCAAATGTGAAGATGGCAATGGAGGCACATTAGCTTCTGTGTCTATTTATATAGACTAATGAGGCTGAAGATCCAAGCTTCTGCGAAACTGCAATGAAAGGATGACACATGGCATTTCTACGCTTCCCGATGGAGGGTTAATATAGTTTAATACTTTAATCAATCAATGATGCCACTTGGCGGTTAGTGATTACCGTTATTATTGCGTTGGGAAGTTGACTTGCTATAATGGTCGGCGCTTATTATATGTTTAGCTTCTATAATGGCATTAAATAATAGGTTGGACTTATAATAAGTTGGATTCTTTCTGATTCAAAGTACTTCTTAGTTGGGGTACTTCTTCATTTGATTCCTTTGAATCCGCAATTGCTTAATTAATATTGGGCTAGACACAACCAATACAAAAACAATATAATACAACGGATTTAAATTTAGTCTTAAAGGATTCAAATGACAAACGGGTAAATTATTAAACTGGTAAAATAATTTTATTTGTACATGAGATGAATTCGATACAACACACAAAGTCAGCCATACATCATTAGTGATTAATAGAGCATTACATAGTGAAATGAATGTCATCGTGCCTGGGTGGCATTGTATAAACATATTGGATGCACCCAACATAGTTATGCTGCAAGCCCTGATGCAACCAGAAGAAAGAAAAGCGAGTGTCTTAAAGCAGCTGGACATAGAAGCAGGCTTTTCAAGATCACAAGTAAAAAATTTCTGCATTGCTTACGTTAACCCAACTAACCAGTAAACAGCAGTTTGATTATTATACTATGCTCTTTAGGAATTATATGTAATACCCTAAACTCAAGTATTTTCTACATAAATCTCTACTACCAACTTTTTGGTGATCAACAACGGAATGCGATTCTCTCCAATAATTTTTTTCTCCATTTTCCTACTTAGTAGATCACTTACCCTGCCCATTGTAGGTCATTTCTTACTTGGTAGATCATTTTTCTCCATATTGGTCTCCCATTCGTTTAATAGGGGCTGATCTGTCAAGAAGAAAAATATAAGAAAAAAGTATTGGAATGGATTTGAATTCATCACTAACTTGAACTCACCGGATATCTTTGCTTAATGAGAGAGCTTGGGGCTGAAAACAACAGATTTGGTGATGCATGAACTGCGCAAGTATATCGTAATCCACATCATTTTGCTAAGATTGGGAGGTTCTATCCTTTACCCGCGGTGGATATATTAAATGAGTGCACAAAAAGGGTACAAGACAAGGAAAAATACCAGACAAACCAAGTCATATAAAATTAGCCGAAAGAAATTATGATAATATAGTTACATGCTATACATTTTTTAAGTATACAAATTGTAATATACAAAGCTGAGACACAAACTTTAATCTCAAGGAACCTTGAGTGATCATGAATCCATCCTAGAAGACTGTGTTTATCAATTCTCAGTCATCATAGGAAGCATGAGAAGTAGCAGTGCATCCAGGGTCAAAGGGATCTTCAGAACCGCAGCAGTGCCAGTATTGAAAGACTTTACCAGAGTCGGGGGTGTTCAAGGTGCCACCAATGTACACACTCTCAAACTTCCTCTTCGTTTCTCCTGAGTAAAGACATGGAAAATGTTGTGCAATTGTCAAGGGGCAATTTAATCTGGCCGATTCAGACCATGCAATGCGTATAAAATAATTGAAACATCACAGCATGACAATGTTGTTGGACTAAATAAATAGAAAACAGATTTCAAAATTAGCAATTACTTCATACAACAAATGTATATATCTTAAGCAAAGACAACATGCAGGAGTGTGAGAAAGAGGGTGGCATGCACAACACGCAGGAGAGTCAGAAAGATGTTTTTTATCCTATGTGAGTTTTGTGTGTACAACATACTACATACTACATAACCACACATTTTTTGCGTCTTGTACAAAAAAAGGAGCCCTCTCTCCACTCTGTTCAGATTCTCCAGGCCTCATGACAATGACTACCTTAAATTCAAAAGGAATATCACCACATGGTTTGCTTTTATGTAACCGATCATTCTATCATTCATTGTATGAAGTTTTTATATCGTAGTCTATGGTTGTCACTCAAAGCCAGTCAGTGACCAACTCCAATTAACAAGTTCAGTAGGATATTTTCCCGACAGAGAAATGCACCTTTGGAGTTTACAACTGAGCAAGTTAAAACCTCAAAAATGTACAAACCTTCACATTAACCTTCCCATGACCAATTCCAATTAACAAGTTCACTAGCACACTTTCCCCACAGAGTAATGCACATTTTAAGTTTAAAATTTAGCAAGTTAATAGCATAAGACAGTATATAAATCAAACATAAACCTTCACATCAACTTTCCCATGACCAATTAAGCTTTGAATCTCAGTCTAGACATAACTAACATATGTAGAGAGCATCACATAGTCAAACAATATATACGCACTCAGTAATTAAACACATTATAGCACTGGAAACTAGATGGGTGAACCAAATGGGTACCTCCAAAATGAGCAGTGTGGTAACGACAAGCCCTGGGGTGATTGAGCACAGGATCGAATTGGGTCTTGCAATTCTTGCAAGTTCTTAGGGTTTGGGTTGGTTTTTCTGAGCATCGAATTGGGAATTTCATAGCGCTTGGGTTTTTAAATTCAAGACTTGCCGTTCGTCCAAAGAAGAGATGAATTGGAACGATTTTGTTTTGATTTCTTCGTTGACTGAGCAAAGCGTACGTTATCGGCAAAGATGAAGTTGAACAAATTTGAGCCGTCATTATACTGTGAAAAGGGCTAGGGTTTCTCCGTATTGGGAAGGAATAGTAAGTGGGTGAGAGTTTCGGTGACAGAGAAGCTGGTGGAGTGAGAATCAAGCATAATCGGATGAATTACACTTTATACCCTGAAAATTTTAAGATTCTTATTTTACGCTCTTAAAAATTAAATTTTTTATACTAACATATTATAATATGACCCTTCTGTTAGTTTTTTTTTAGTTTTTTCGTCAATATCAATGTGTTGACTTTTAACAAAAAAAATAGCGAAAACTAATAAAATAATTATATTACAATATTTTTGATACATTGAGAGTGTAATATAAAAAATTTAATCTTTATAAGTATAAAATAAGAAATTTAAAATCTTTTGGAGTGTAAAATATGAAAAGCCCGGATTGCGCAGGTAAGTTCATCTTTTTTTTTTTTTTGTAAAAATTAGAACTAGAGAAAACAATAAGACGAATTCTTCGAATTGTAATCTTGTTTATTATTCAGTTAAAAAAAAATCTATTTTATTATTACTAGTATCTCATTCCATATGATTAACGAAATTTATAATATCTAGCTACAATGGCCTTAGTCCACCCCTGCTGGTAACCTTATACCCATCCTCACCCCTTGTGCTAGAATATTTTTAAAAAATTAAATTTAAATAATTAAAAAAGATGACAACAAATCTATATAATAAAGTAGAACAAATTTGAATTTTGGAGACAAAGAGCGGTTGAGATCGTTTCGTGAGTAAAAATGACATCATCTAACGATCGACGTTATCCCAAACTATCTCGAGCTATTGATGTCTCACATCATTTCGATTCGACGTACCATATTAGCTCTTGAAAATTTTTGCCACTCAAAATTTTTAGTTTTCAAAACTAGCATCCCTAAATTTAATTCTTCAACCCAATTAAATCCGACAATTAAGCGAACTCTCATTCCTCAACTCTGTCTCTCTCTCTCCCTAAAGTACAGATTACAACTCTTATCATTATTTTCCTGATTTTATTTCCTATGTTAAAGGATCACTTTCTATACTTAGACATTGACTGTCCCTCACACTCTCATCTTTCATGATTCTCTTTCCAAACTAAGACACATATCTCTCCAAAATTCTATCATAATGAAGCTGCTCTCAATTTTTACTGTTTATATCACATACACATCTTTACTGTACATATATATAGTATAAAGATCGAAAACATAATATATATATATGTTATATCTTAAAAAAAGTTTCATCTAAACACTATATAATTGAGTCTAAATTCAATGACAACCCCTATAATAATAACTTTTGTCTTTGTTAGCAAACTAAAACTATTTATTATGTAAATAGACTAAAATGTCATCAGTTGTTTTCCCATTGTATATGTGTTAGTCAGACAATAAATGTAATTTCAATCATTATATTATCTTAATAAATTTTTTATTTTAAAACGTCGTATTATAACTTTGTTATAATATTAGTTATCATATTATCACTCATTTGGTTACATAATCAAGTTTTTATGATTTTTATTTTTTTATCATAATAATTTTTCTAGTTAAAAATAATTTTTCTGTAATAAAAATTACAATTGATAAAATCAATGTCAAAATCTCATCCATTTCTAATTCCGTAGGTATCATATGTCTTCCACAATGTCGCCCGACCGCTCCTCACACATCATACTTCATATATAAAATTTAAAATTATTGATAAAAGTTAATATTAATTGAATAAATTTGATCTTAATTGTGATAAATTTAAATATTAATTTAGTTTTAATTTGATAAAACTAAATATTAATTTAGTATTAATTTGTTTGAATTTAATGTTAAATGAATAAATTTGAATGTTGTTTTAATAAAACTAAATGTTCATTTGGGGTTAAATTAAAGAAATGACATTAATTTGATAAGGTCAAATTTTAAATTAATAGAATTTAATATTCTATTTAATAAATTAAATAGTTTAATTTAATAAAATTGAATTTCAATTTGATGTTGATTTGATAAAAATAAATAATAACTTAATATTAAATTTAAAAAATAATATTAATTTGATGAAATGAAATATTAAATTAATATAACTAATGCTAATTTGATAAAGTTTAGTATCAATTTTGTGTTGATTTGATGAGATGAAATGTTAATTTAGTTTAAATTAAATAAAAAAAATTAATTTGATAAAATTGAATATTAAATTGATCAAAATAAAGGCAAATATAATATAACTAAAATGGAGTGTATTGAAATTTCAGAATCAATAAGGGATGTTGTTAAAATTAGGTCTATTTATAAGGGGTGTTGTTAAAGTTAGGTTTATTTATAAGAGGTGTGGATGAAATAACTTTATTTATAAGAGGTGTGGATAAAATTTATCTTATAAAATACTCGGAGATATTTCTATAAATCAACCATCGACATTAACGATGTAACTTGACAATTACTAATAGGGAGTGACAGTAAAATTTAAAAAACGGAAGGAAGTGTCATTAAATTTAGACATAACTTCAGGGGATCTGAATGAAATTTTCTCTTATATTTATACAAATCTATATAATAAAACACACAAGAAGTTAAATTTTATCTCATATACATTTTTCACCCCCCAAAACTGCCACATCATTTATTTATATTACATGTTTAACTATTTAATATTTGATTAATTTATAATTTAACATAATTTTTATTTCAAATATTATCTATACACGATAATATAAATCTGTTAAAAAAATTTATCGAATTACATATTTTGAGAAAATTTTGTCAATATCTTTAAGAAAATAAGGGCAAAAATAAATTTTAAATGATTTAATCAAACAAATGAAAGAAATAAAATATTATTTAATATAGTGATATAGATTTTTTAGAACTCAAATTTTTTGTTCTATCGTGTCATCGGATTATGACAAGTTTAATTATAAAGTATTTTGAAAAGAGATGTTTTTCGAAAAAAAAAAAAAAAGATGAAATGGAGTCTTCTGGTATTTATATGGAAAAAAGCTTAGGAGTGTTTTGAGTAAATGTGATCTAAAATAACTCAAATATGTTTACTTATCAAGTAATTGAAAATAATATAGAGATAGTGGTGGTGCTTTTAAGTATTTATGCGAGTTTAAGTGTCAAGGTGGCGAGAATTTATTGGATGTTAGATATTTAAAAAAAATTAAAATTCTATTAATTTAGAAAAGAGGTAGAGAAGGTTTCTCAAGACCTCTACTCAGAAAATGATTTGTTTTATTTGGCCAAAAACTGCTAAAAAAAATTTGGCCTAAAATATTAAACTTCAATTAGTTTCTCAAATATTACATAAAACAAAATTCGGTTCAATTTTTTATTCATGTCCATATTAAAAGGATAAAATTCTCATAATATTTAATTTAAGTAAGTTTTTAAAAAAACAAGTCTTACTCGTTCTAATAAAAATCTACTCGGACCAATTTTAAGGAAAAGTGAGTCTTTGTTGACTACAATGCATATATTTTGTGGTTTCAATTTTAACAAATAGTACTTAATTCTGAGTAATTATTGGCATACGAACTTCACTATTATCTCTCCATACAAAAAATGTCCACAAACAATTATCCTAACATTGAAAATGGAGATTAAATTAGATATGATTTACATGTAAATTGGCAGTTTTATGGGAGAGATATTCACCAACGGGTCTTTGGTCCAATGATACTACTTACCTTGTGAGGTTTTATCTTTTTGAGGTCAAGGTTTCAAGTCCCCCTTCTCCCCTCCAAAAAAAAAAAATGGGAGAGAAACTTAATTTTCAATACATCAACAAATTAGGTCATTCCATGTTTTTTCTCCGAGTGTGCGTTAAACAAAAAAATACACATCTTATATACGATACAAACTTTGATCATATATTATTACAAGGAAAATTTGGCTATGGGTATTCTTTGTAAAAATTTTTTGACTTTAACTACACAACTCAAAATTTTAAGCAATTAAAACCTCTTGTGCTTAAATATTCTGTCATTACATACACATTACAGTTTTCCTCTTTTTTTTTTTTTTTGCATCACCTAATTTTCCTTGCTTTATTTCATGCATTACAGATTGACAGTGTTCTTTTTCCCCAATATGTAAATCTTAGATAAAATATATTCAAACGTTTGTTGATAGGTCAAGCCCAAGGATCCAACTCATGTTATAAGTCTGGTCCGAGTTTTAAGGCCCAATTTCAAGAGGTCCACCAAGTTCAGCCCAATGTGATCAGTCTAGTCAAATTCATCAAGCTCAAGGAGTTAGGTCAACAAGGAGCATGCAAGGTTATCTGTGAGTCTCCTCTACACCACTAAGAGAGCATCCAGGAGCCTCAACCCCACCGCTTGGAGAGCATCATAAACTTCCTTGACGTTGAGGAGAGCAGAGGTCGCCAAGCTATTTAATCACTATTAAAGTCACACCAACCCGTTATGACTATTAAACGACCACAACCCCGTTATGACCTTCCGACTAGCTATGCAATTACTACACTAAGCTACTATAAATTGTAAGCCTCACTAACACTTGAAGGGCATTAGACTCATTTGAGCATAATTCTCTCCTCCTCTCTCAAAGTTTGTAATATTCTGCTCCCCTTCCACACCAGAGATAATAAAATACTAGCAACTCTTGTCATTCAAAGTGGACGTAGGCCACGTTGATCGAACCACTATAAACTTTTCTTTTCTCTCCACTTATTTTACTGCATTTTATACTGCATACTTGACAGGTGGTGTGCAAACCAATTTTGTGCATCATCAGTTTGGCGCCGTCTATGAGAAGCAACAAAATTCTTACATAACTATTTTCTTTGCTCAATCAAAGTCAATCACCACAAGAACCATGAGTCAACATGAAGACAACCCATGAGAGGAGGAGGTTGCTCCTCCATCTATCAATCCCGTCTTAAATGCACAGCAGATGCTAGTCACAATGCAACAACTTATAGCCCAAAACAACAAATTCTGCAATTGATGCTCGAGCAACAAGGAGGAGCGCAGCCTGGACCTCAAGCC